AACTTTAGAAGCATTCTAATGATTGCTGATGACATTCACTGGGCTTTACTAAGTATAAATATTATTGCTAAAATATATTACTCCCTGTGATCCTTACAACAATTATGTAAAATGATTTTTTTCTTTGTGTGTGTGTTACTGGGGATTGAATCCGTGTCTTTCACACTGAGCTACAACCCAAGTTCATTTTTTACTTTTATTTTGAAAGAAGGTCTCATCAGGTCGCTAAGTTGCCCAGGCTGTGGTCATACACGTGCTTCTTCTGTCTCAGGTGAAATAATGGATGTTAAATGAGTATTTATAGATGAGGAAAGTAATGCTCAGAAAAGCTAATTAGCTCGAGTTTTTCAGCCTGTCAATGGTGAATCCAGCCATTGTCAGTCTTTTCATTCTAGGGGGCTAGAAACAGAGTTAATTCAGACTCTCTATCTCTCTCTCTCTCTTTTTTTTTTTTGGTACTAGGGTACTGGGGATTGAACTCGGGACCTTGTGCTTGCAAGGCAGGTGGCAGAACCATTGAGATAAATCCCTGGCCATAATTCAGACTCTCTTAAATGTCTCTTTCAACATTTTAGTAAAACCAATGGTCATTGGCCAAACACTGGCCAATCTCTTAAGTCCTTTCAGTGGCTTACCCTCCATTGGCTTCTGGGGTTAAATTCACATTTCTTAACATGGTTTACAAGGCCCATAATGATTTAGTTCTAGTATATCTTCCCAGCTCAACTCTTGCAACTTCTTACACAAACTTTATGCTTCAGCCACAGCTGCCTACTGGGATGTTCACCTCCTGCCTCAACTCCCACTCTTTTTTATAGAACAAGGTTGTTAGATTAATTTCCTTGGGGCTCCAGGGTCACATGGATACTCCCAAATTCTCTTAAAGTTTAGTGCATACCCATAGAATATTCCTCATAATATCTGATGGTGACTGATTTAAGGGAAGGGATTGTTTCCTCTTTATTTAAGAACTGGTAGTTCCTAGCATAGAACCTGGTGCCTCATTGAAATAAATGTTGATGACCTGACTGAAAACAAAAGATGTTGACAATGAATGGGAACTATTCTACCACATCCTTTGGTAAGCTGAATGGCAGAGAAATGAGACTACTGTAACTAAAAGAAATGTTTACATTTTGAAGCAACATCTGTTAAACCCAGATGCAATACTGTCTAGCTTGGGAAGCAAGTTGTATCAGGTACAGTTATAAACTTCTTGTGATTGATGAAGGAACCATTGTCAAAGGATAAAGAGGAATGGGCTATTAAAGAAAGAAATAGAAATCTCCTAGGATATGGAAAGTCTAATATTAATTTGAGTGATATTTCCAGGATGCACATTGATTATTACTCTTCAAAAGTACTGAGACAAAGCATGGCAACTATTCAGTGTAATAGCTTAAATCACCAACACGGTTTCTGTTTAAGCACAATCATCAAACTTCTAAATTCAATGAATATTCTAATGATAAATGTTTATTTTCTACTCAATTATACCTTGATCAAAGATCAGAACAAATGAAATGCAAGGACTTTGGGGAGGCAATTTTAATAAAACTAGTCTCCATTCATGAACCACTGACTGTGCCAATAAATAGCCCCTTCAGGGAGTTACAACAGCTGTCTGAGGTGAGTACATATTTTTACATATGCATTATTGAAAATGGAGCCAAAATCTCAGACAGATTTAATATCTTGCCCAAATGCACACAGCTCAAATGTACTAGAACTAGAATTTAAACTTAGGTCTGATTTTAAAGTGTGTGCTCTTTGTGGTTACATAGATTGTTTTGAACTAATCTGTGACCTGGTTTGGGGTTTCACCCTTGCTTTGCTCTGAATAAAAAAGAATTCAGTTACCCAAATTATATTTTCAGTCTAATGAGGGAAGCGAATTCTAAGATCACCTTTCTTTGTCCAAATTGATGTTCAAATGACAATTTTCAGAGTGATTTGTTATAAAAACATGTCTGAATTAGTATATGTTTTGGTATATCAATTTGAGAAAATCCAGTTAGGGTAAATATACCCTTCACATCAATATTTATACTCTTATTTTGCATGTGTATATTTTCAATGGAAGGCTCCAAGAGTTGAAAAATAGCACCTCTTAAAAATGAAAAAAGTACTTAATAAGCATGATAATTACCATAATATTTAATTATAGGCACTGTGGCTGAAAATTATAAAGGGAAAAATAAGCCAAAGGAAATCAGGAACTGAAAATAAGATTTAGCTCTTCAAGTGCTTCGTTATTATTTCTGAAACCCCTACCAATGCATCTATAAGCTGGGCTTTGAAACTGGATACATTGCTAACTATACACACCATACACATTTATCTCTGGCTTGGCTTTTTCACTCTGGAAGGAAGGTATCTAAGATCTGCTTAGCAGGGCAAATTATGCAAAATAGTTTCTCCACAGGGCTTTGCCTCTTCACTAGGGCAGAACCCAGATGATGCTGCAGGCTTTAGCCTTCTCTTGAAATAAATCCCCTAAAGCAAGTGCAATTGAAGCAATCTTGACAGGAGAGGATGTTGGCATAGGAAATGATTTGCTTGGGAAATAATGACTAGAAACCTGTGCATATAACATTGGTTATAAAGTATATTTTGATAGGATCATTGTCAACTGTAATAATAGATATGCCTTTTAATTTTTTTTACCTGAAATAGAAATCATAAGCATATGACCTGACATGACCATGAGCCCTACTTCTAGATGTTTTAATTATAGGAAGATTCCAGAACAAACATTCATTATTGGTTGGTGTTATGATTTAGATTTTAAATCTGCAGAGGCCCATTCATGAAAGCCTTGTTCATCTGCCTGTGGTACTACTGGAAGACAGTGATACCTTTAGGAGGTGGGGCCAAGTGGGAAGAAGTTAGGTCACTGGGGGTGTGTCCTGGAAGAGGCTATTGGACCCTGGCCCTTTCCTTTCTCTCTTTGGTTCCTGGCTACCATGAGGTTAGCAGTTTTGTTCCACTACACACTTACTGCCACAATGTTCTGTCTTATCACAAGCCCAAAGTGATGGAGAAAAGTGACCACACACTGATCCAAAATGAATCTCTCTCTCTCTCTTTATTTTTTTGCAGTACCGGGGATCCAACTCAGGACCTCAGGACCTTGTGAGGCAGGTGCTGAACTAAATCCCTGGCTGAATCTCTTTCTTTTAACTTAATTATCTCAGTTGTTTTATCACAGCAACAAAAAGCTGGCTAGCACAGCTGGGATGAAGTTATGTAATATACCTGTATAACAAACAATTGTGTACATATATATACAGTAACTAGTCTTCACTTAATCAATTTACTGTATTAATAGTGGCTCTCAATCTACCATCATATATATATAGACCAATGGCATGGAATGATTTTGAGCAAATAGGTTTCTTTTTCTAGTTCCCCTTATACTTCTGCTCTTGCTTGAGTTGTAAACTTGTTTTGAATTAATTATGTTTATTCACAATCCTGCTTATTCCAGTAACATTTGTTATTTTAGCTATGTAATTTAGTCACTCATATTTCTTATGAAATATCTATGTAGTTGTACTATGAAATCAAAATCAAATTTACTAGACAAAGCATTCTATTAACTACATGGAAGAGAAACTAAAACAATGGAGCAAATCAAAATCTAGGTGAAGTGAGCAATAGGACTGCTTTAAATTGTTAAAACTTTCAGTGTATTATGAAGCAGCAAGAAGCTCTGGTGTGAGATTGCACAGTATGGTGACTAAAGGTAATAAATGTAGTATACATGTCAAAAAGTTACAAGAAAGGATTTTGAAAGTTTTCACCAAAATACTATAAATCATAAATATTTGAGAAGATGGGTGTATTGACACTTATTTAAACTTTCCACAAAGTATACACATATCTAAACACTATGCTATCCCATTAACATGTATATTTTTTATGTGTCAGTTTGACGTAAAGAGAAATCATAAACTCTATGTTATGGGTATGGTCAGAAAAATAAACAAAATACTTGTAACTATACAGAGGAAACAGTTGAACTTTACTCATAAGATTGGCAAAATTTTAAATTAAACGTTAATATTGATACATATTATTGTCTGTATTTACCATATTACTGGACTCTTTCAATTAACTTTTTCTGTTAGCTCCAGGTTCTTATCAAAATCACATAAAATGGCTTCTACTGAAGGGCTACTCCTTGGACCACTGCAACAGCGTCATCTGGGAATTTGTTAGAAATGAGGAATCACAGGCCCCACCTGGGGGCTGTGCTCAAATCTGTGTTTTCATAAGATCCTCATGGAAATCTCAGAAGTGCTGCTTCACCTCCACTACATCCTCCTGTTTCTGGAGGCCCTAAGCATAGACACAGCCCCTTAGGAGAACAATGTGGCACAAAACATCTGCATAACTTCCTTTTCATTCTGACCAGGCAATGTAGTTACACTTATTTAAAGAAATATTTTCAAAGAAAATAACTCAGAAGAAGAATAGTTGAATACAGGTTTGTATGTATAAAATATTTATGACAATACTACCTATAAAATTAAACAATTGGAAACAATCTAAGGATTATAAATAAAGAATAGTAAACAAATTATAGGAAATAACAAAAATAGTTATTAAGGGTTTGTAGAAGGGTAAAATGTTTACAATATAAACTTATGTAAAAGTGCAACATTCACTATGGTTGTAATTATGTAGTAGAAACATGAGCAAAGACATGAAAATGACTAGTTCCAGTGTATTAAGGTGCTATTGGGTGATGATATAGTTTTCATTCTTAAAAATTATTCATTAAAATTATAATAACATTTATGGTGAAAATATCCTACTTAAATAATTTAAAATTCATATTATACTCTCAACCCAGAATTTAAAGACTCTTAACTATCTGAAACACTGCTGCAATGTCACTAGCCAGATGTTGTATGTAAAACATTAAGATCCATTATCTTTTTGACAGATGGGCTGTTAGAAAAATCATATTTAAATAAGGATGCTATTGATACCTGAATTATCTTCATCTTTGCGGATTTTGAGCTTTACCAGATCTTCACACTGCTGGAGGATCTGAACTGCATCTTCCATGGAACAGTTGTCCAGCCGGATGTTATCTATTGCAAGTAATTTATCCCCAAGTTCCAGGGTTCCGGTTCTGTTAGTAAATGCACAGAAACACATGATAAATGATAAGCACTTAATGGACCATTTAAAGAGACATTAACCATAATGTAGTACTCTGGTAATGAGAGAAAAAGAGGTTTTTCAACTGTTTTTAAGTTGCACTTTGTTGACAAGCGCCCATTTCTTCCCCACCCTTATTTGGGGTGACATTAAATTGCAGAGTATTAAAAACATTTTTTGATGCCTTTGTCAATTAAACCAGGACATCCATATCATTTTTACTCAGGAAATCTAAGGTTTCTGGAAGGGCTGAAGGAGTAGGGAGGTTCAGGTGGGTAGAGTTAGTAAAGACTCGTAATTTTTTCCATTTCCAATGTACCTGGAAGCTCATGGTGTCTGGAGTAGAGAGAAAATGTACAGATGAATTGAATCTCAGGCTACCTGTTTGGAAAGTGGTCTCTGAGCACCTTATACTGGGTTTACCAGTGCAGATCTGTTGCAAGTTTTTAAAGGTCCATAACAAAATGGGAAAAAGAGTAAAAGTGTAGTATATATGTCTTCATATATGCGTGTATGCATATGTATTCATATTTGTAAGAAACAGTCTTTATGCATTATGTCTCTGATAAGAGACTGCTAAATATTTTCCAATATCCATTCTCCCCTTCCTTCTTCTGAGTTACTCCCTAAAAATGCAAGCCCTGACTCTTTCAGCATCCTTCAGGGTCCCCACCTCCTTCCTATGGCTTAGAAACATAGATGACTGGCCAGTGAGAGGGAGGGCTTCCTCAGCCCTGGGTTGTTTGCTCACTTCCCAGTTGTATAGGATAGAAATACTTCTGTCCTGTTTAATCCATTGTACTAATAAGTTTCTTTCTCACAGCAACTGAGCCTATAGCCATATCCCTAAACTCACACGATGTCTCCTACTTTTGAGTATTAAAATACTGTATTTCCTTAAAGAAATGACTATGGTAACAGATGGGATTTAAAAAAAAAATCTTTAGTTGAAAAATAAAGTTAACAGTGTTGTATCAGTATGTTGAATCACCTAAAAAGTATTTTGGATCTGTGAAATAAAATGTTTGAGACAGCCTTATTTTGATGGTATATGGGCCCAAGGATTATTATTTAAGGCTGAAAGATCTTGCTTGCCCAGGGAGGACACTCTGGCATCTAGCAAAACTGTTTCACAAGCTACACAAGATATAATGTCTGTGAGGGGTACTTCTCATAACTGAGGCTACTGTCAGGGCTTTAGCTGGAAAATCAAAGTAAGAAGACAATCAGTGAAGAAGAGTCTGTTCAGAACTCACAAAAGACCCCCAAAACACTTTTGGACAACTATTGTCTGCTCTGGGTACAGAAATAAAATGATAGCAAAGGAGCGATCTATGTAGCCATTGCCACCAGGGATATAAAATAAAATTGATAGATAGTGGCTGCCTGGACAGTATTGAGAATACAATGATCCATTAGCAAGGCCCGCCTTGGGTATGGAAGGGGTCATTTCTGCTTAAATCAAGAGATGTCTTGGAATAAGGAAATACATTTTCCTTACCTGTGTGCCACACTCCCTTTCTTGATATCTGAAATGACAAGGGGGTCCCCTGGTTTTCTACTGGATGGTGCTGTAACAATTCAGATAGGACAGTCACATCTTTGTACATATGATTCACCCAGTACTATACTTTCCCTTCTTTTACAATAACTGTTAATGCAAGTAGAATTTGTATACAAAGCATAGATGTAAATGAATTAGGAAAGCATAGACCAGTAAATGAATTAGGAAACACGTGCCTTATATCTATAAAGACATCTGTGTTAAGTGCTTATAAACTTCAAATCTAAGGGTAAGCCATTTAATTTGCAATTGGAGAAAGCAACTGGAGAACTGCCCATCAAGTTTAAATCTATTTTAATCAGTAATTCTAAGGAGAGGACCTAAAGGATTGGTTGCTCAGTAGAACACTACATTCACTTAGAGGCTCCCCTTAGTGGTGCTGGTATGGGATCCTTTCTCCTATCCCTCCTCCACTTCTTTCCAGGAAGGAGACACCACTGTTGATGGGAATGTGTTGTTGTTACTCAAGTACCCCAGGAGCGAAAGTGGGTAAGAATCACTAATATAAAGTGCATTTCTTTTTTCTTCAGAAGAAAGTCTCGGTAGATGGACTATAAATCTTTAAATTTTGTTCACAAATTCACACCTAGAAATTTGTGAAATATTCTGGAATATTCAGTTTACTGACTGTAGTCAACATTTTGTTGATAGGTAATTAAATTCTTATACATCCTGATAGTATAAACACATAAAGAGAACTTTAAGGTTACAGAACAACTATCATTCTGCACAGTGGTCAGTTTTGGGCTTTACAAATTTTCTTACAAATATTTTCACTGGATAAGAAAGAAAACCCTGAATGAACTTACTTAAAATCAATTCTTGAAATGAAATATACCCCATATACATACAAAAAATCATCTTGACTTAGAAGATTTACATTTAATTTAGGAGTTTGATACTTAAAAACTATGCATATCAACATTTGTGAAAAAAAAGAAAAGAAAAGAAAAGAAAAAACAACTGGCTCTGAGAGATGTTTTGCCATCCCAAAGCCTGGAACAATTTCCTTTTAGAGATCATTAAAAAGTCCCTGAAGTAGGATTTTATTATAAACAGTCTGATCACCCCATAATAATTATAGAGCCATTTCATCTCCCATAATCCCGTCTGAATCCCAGAAAAATGTTTACACACAAGAACAGATGGTTTAATATCTCAACACAACATTTAAAGAAAAAGCAAACACTACAAATACCTTACCCACTGTCTAAATTAGTTCATGGTAAATGTTAATGAGATTTCATATAATCATTATACTTAGCTTTCAACAAAGAATGCAAAATATCTATTCACTACAATTACTTTATTATTTAAAGCTTCATTCAATGATTTGATGTAATTCCTCTAGAGAAATATAAACATCTAGCATCTTTACTCATGTCATATTCCCAAACTGCAAACTGTTTTGGGCATAAGGCACAAAAATAAAACTTTGTTATTATCACCAAGCATAACTTTTCTAGTATTTGCCAATGAATTTACATATTTTGCCAAGCTGTTGTAAACATCATATAGCACTCAATGTTTCTTTTGGCTTTAAAAATATCCATGTTCCACTGAAATGGTATGTGAAACCCAAAAACAGTAGAAGCATCAAAACACATCAAACCTACTTTTCTTATTTTTACAACCAAAGAAAATAGTACGTGACCTTTTGGACTAATCCACACAGCTTTTCAGAGAAGCTAAAAATTTCTTCTAGTTTGTAGTCATGCATGGTAGCCATTCTCACATTTACTAGATTCTTCTCTTTCTCCTTTAGCCAAATCCGTACTTAAGATTTGGAAGGTTCATCGAGGTGAATACCCACGGGAGTGATTATACTAAATCCAAAAGTGAGTCCAAACCTGTATAAGCTTCCTCTGCTGTTTCTGCTATGCACATTAAATTTGGCAGTGCATGGTCTGGGGGGCTCAGTCATGCTGTGCATCCCTACTACCATGTTTAATTTTCCACTATACAAGAAGTCACAAATCAAGCATGATTTTGGTTGGTTTTAAAACATATTAGTTGTCAACATTTAACAATTTATTGCTTTCATTAGATGTATGCTTTCTTTTTAAAAGAAGTTGGATAATAAGGAAAGACAGGCTGGCTAAGTCTTGTGAGGTCAATTAGGCAAGAATTGGTGTTTCCAGTGATGTGATTACAACTGAGAAGGCCATACAAACATATTATGGGCTGGGCTGAGGGTTCACTGAGTGGGGTGAGAGTGTTGTTCATAAAAGAAGGGCAACAAAAGTTGTTAAACTCTGGGAAAGAAAAATAAAACAATCAGAGCATCTTGAAATCTCAATGTAACTGGTCAAACACACAGACATGAAAGCCTGACAAAAGAGAGTATGATGTTAAATATTGATTTATATCATAGATATTAGATTTAAACTACTGCTCTTTTCCTACTTACACTGATGAAATAATTTTAATTCAAACTCCACTTTTATATCCAGGGTCATTGTTTTTGTGGTTCCAGAGCTACACTGAGTCATCTACAAGATAGTTCAGAACTTGAGCACCATCATGTCTGCATAAAACTCTTTTGCAAAGCAGCAAGCCCAGATCCCTGGAAAATTGATCTCCAATCACAAAAATACATTTGTACAACATTACAAAGTTCATTGAGTTTATATTTCTCATGTTGTACAATCTCGATCCTCACAAGGAAACTGCTTACTGTAGTACTTTTTTAATTTTCTTTTTTATTTGATCAAAATTATAAATGCAACTTCCAAATTTCCAATGATGAATGTCATTATACTGTATACCTAAAATGTACCAATAAAATAAAATTTTAAAAAATAAATAAAATGAAAAAAATTATAAATGCATACAATTTAAAGAGTGAGAAGTTCTCCAAGAGTAGTCCTCAAGTTTTTGCTTCTCCAGATGCAACTACAGATGGTTCCCAAGTTGACAATTGTTTGATTTAATGATTTTCAACTTTATGATCATGTAAAAGCAATATATATTCAGTAGAAAATATACTTGGATTTTTTTGAAATTGATTATTTTTTTGTGTTTTCCTGACACATTGTATAAAAACTCTCCTACCCTCTGGCCACCACTGGAACCCTATGTGACTGCTTCTTTGTCTAGGGTCCTCAGGATGATGCTTCAGGTGTGTCTGTTTATATCTGGGGGTTATGGGCCCATCTGTTTGGAAAAAAATCTATCAATTCTATGAAATTTTATAGAATCATTTCTTTGATGCTTTTCTCTTCTATCTTTGTGTAATGCCTATTATGTCGAAGCTGTGTCCTTTGGGCTCATCTCTGTATAATATTTTTTCTAGATTTCTCACTTATTTGTTATTTTGTTTTAATTCCTGGGAATTCTTCAATTCCACCCTCAGAATTTTAACTGAATTTTTAATTCTTGTCTTTTTCTTAATTTTTAAGAGCTCTTTGTTCCCCTCTGTGGATGTTATTTTGCAGTAACATTTACTCCTTGACTGCTCCTATGGATGCAATATTTTATATTGCTAATGATGTTAAGAACAGATTTTTGTTTGTTCTGCCTTGTTCTGTTTTTCCTTTTCCTAAATGTACTGTTTTCTTGATTCTTTGTTTTGTTTGATAATCTTGTGTATTCGATTCAAGTGTCTAGTTGTTTTTGTTTTTTCCCTAGCTGTCTTTTTAACAGCAGAGTGAGGATAATGGTGTTTGCTTCTTTGGGTCAGATAGTGCCCATTCTTTCTCCTGCTTGGAGGGTACTAAACCTAACCACCTGGTATCTTCAAGCTCCACGGGCAAGAGAGATGGCAGCCTCACTATTCAGTAGGCAAGCTTCCATCTAGTCTGTTTGCAGCACAGTGTTGCTGTGTGGAGAACTCTCCATTGAATGTTTTTCAGAGAATAAAATTCTAGGCTTCTGCCAGGGTAGGGGAGAGATAGTTGTCTGTGAGGAGTGGGAGAAGGTCTCAAAGAGGTTAATTCATTCTTAGCCTTTCAATTAGTCCTCCTATCTCAGCTTTATCATCATTCTTACTTCCTTAAGTTTCTGATGCCACCAATTCCTGAGGCTCTTGGGAATAATATGATGTGAATCAGGTTCTTATCAGCTTTCCTTGCTGTTGTCTATATTCTTCTTTTATCTCCTTGTAGGTTTTCACCTTTTGAAAATCTTATACAATCATTTAAAGTGGGTGACAGCATGGGTGAAGTAGTAGAAGCATAAGTTTAAGCTACTGTCCTTTAACCTCAGAGGTATTAAAATCCCTCAATATGAGAAACTGGTTATTATAGAAAATATGGATTTGTTTCCCCTCAAATAACGTCAGAGTGCTGGGTATGTGGTGACATGATGGAGCCTAAGGCCCTAGGTTCTACCACCAGTGCAATCAGAAAAAAAATTTTTTTTTCAGAGGAGGTATAAAATGACAGTCTCTATGTTTTGTTGAATAACTTTTCCTGTGTTTGAAGACAAGTAAACTCTTCTCTTCTGAATTTTGAAGCTAATTAAATGGGAATAAACAAAGTATTCAAGAACATCACATAATATCCAGTCATTCTGGAACTTACTCTGATAACCAAAGTACTTTGCTCAAAATCTGATGAAGCATCCAAACTCCAGTAGAGAAACTGTCTTTTTTCCTCTCATTCAGCTTTACTTTAATTGCAATCATATACATAATATATGCCAAGTACAAAAGTTATTTAATTAGAAATAGGGCACTGAAGAAATTTTTTATTGCAAACTCAGTGAAAGACGTGAACCATTCTCTTCTAAATATGCTTAAGACTTAGGGGGAAATGACAGATTTGTTGTGCTTGTCATAAGGGCTGCTTCATGATTTTATAAAAAATAAAGCAAGCCTTTGTTTCTGCCAACAATTCAGTTGCAACCAAAAGAGACAGCCAACAAATTAACTGCACTCACAAAATGCTGCCTTATTACTGTTCTGATAGAGGATCTGCAAAAGGTTCATCAATCAGATGGCAGCGGTGGTATAGTGACAGTAAAGCCGAGGTTAAGACAGACAGAAATGGGTCTGAATCCCTGCTTTGCCTTTTATTAGCTCTGGGTCTTTAGGAAGTTTATCTAGCTAAGCCATACTCTCCTCTCTGTAAAATGGGGATAGATGCCACAGGGCTGCTTTGAGGGTTAAATAAGGAAACACATAAAACTTTGCAGTGTAATGTCTAGCACAAAGTAGGTATAAATCCCTGCAATAAAATCACAGAAGAAAGTACCAATGTGAAAAGAACCTCACTGATAACCAGGGTTCTCTGGATTTAGAGAGGTGGGTTTTGCTGGGAAGTAAGAGCAGTGAATTCTAAGACGCTGAGAGGCAAGGGTGTGGGAAGGTGGCTGCCAGTCCCAGACTGTATCCTTCTGCTAGGTCGTTCCGTTCCACTTTATCTACTATAATACCTCACTCCATATTATAGCAATAACATGAATAAAAGTAATGTCTGATGCTAATGTGCTGTGCATGTTTCATTAGGAACTTAAGAAAATTAGTCTAAAACTGCTCACTATGTCCAAACTCAGAGGGACTCATTTCTCAGTCAATTAGGTCTGGAGAGCAAGCCATAAAGGCTTTGATGGTGTGTGTGCTTCTACCATGGACGCTGTTTCTTAGTAATTAGAGCTTATATAAGGTGAAGAAGATTGAAAGGGGATTTTGGATAAAGACAGTGAGAAAAATCAATAAACTCTGCAGTACCCCAGTTTCATTCAAAGTATCTGTCAGTGTTTGAGAAGAGAGTCCCTGGATTTCCTGCTGAAGTAGGATAGAGTTGGCACCTGAGTTTGTGGTCCACAGCTGTGCCTGAACTATTTCACAAAACTCTGTGTGTATCATCATACTAACATTTATTAGGGTTCACAGTACAGGCACTTTACCTATACTAACTCATTTAATCTTGTGAACAACACAGAAGGAAATATGTAAACCACATTATAGATAGGGAAACTGGGGGCAGAGAGGGGTAAGGAAACGGAGAGGGGCAGTCTGGGATGAGTTTTCGCTCTTCATCACTTTCCAAGTCCATGCAACAGACTTTGAATAAACATCTATATTCATTATCTCCCTTACAGGCTCATTTCCTGAAGGGCACAGTGCTTAGCAGAACATTGTTTGCTGATGAAGGCTTCTTATTTCCTCACACAATGAATACAGGTATTACAGGAGCACCTGGTATGTGCCAGGAACTATGCCAAGCCTCAGGAATTTACTATCTTATAGCAATGAAAAGGGATAGCCTTGTGAAATATTTATTTCTTCCACAGCAAAGTCTATTTCCTCAAATAGCAAAATATAAGTGTTTTCCATGAGGAGCATGGAAAATCACCAGCATGGTGATGATTAGTTGTGTAAATGGAGCCGCAGCCCTAGAAGGGCTGACAAGCATGTGAGAAAAGCTTATGTATCACTTCTCCATTCAGGAGGAGTGTAGCACTTCCAGTTTCTGCGAACATCATTTGCCTATGGCTGGCTACAGTTCTACAATTCAAACCACTTTTGTGGGGATTTTGGGGCTGTTGCCATTTTTGGTAGTAAAATCAATTTTAGAAGTAATGCTTAGTACATAAAAACCATCATCATAAAGCATAATTCTAAATGACTCTACATGTGAATAAAGCAAATATTTTATAGTTGTGTGTACATGACTACATTTCAAACAAACTCAATGTACACTTTTTATTCAGTATTGGGGATTGAACCTAGAGCTTTCATGTGGAGTTATATCCCTAGCCCTTTTTTTATTTTTCATTTTTTTAAAGTTTTGAGATAAGGTCTTTTTCTAAGTCACTAAGTTGTCCAGGTTGGGCTGAAATTTGTGATCCTTCTGCCTCAACTTCTTAGAGTGCTGGCATTATAGGCATGTACCACCATACCTGGTTTAATATCTACCTGTCTGCCTCTATTTATCTATCTATCTATTTTTGGTTTTTTGAGACAGGGTCTTGCTATGTAGTTCAGGCTGGCCTGGAACTCACAGCTATCCTCCTGGCTCAACTTTTTGAATGATGGTATTATAGACATGCACCGCCACCCCGAGTTAAATATCTATTTTTGTAAAAGAAATATGTCAAAGATTTATCTTTAATGAATCTGAATAAATTATATTTTAACTGATATCAATTTAAAAATAAATCTATTATATAAAACACAGAAAGAAAGCCCATATTCTTAAGAAAAGTTTGAGAATAAAATGTCAGTGGTGATGGAAGTGTCCAAGGAGAAAGTATCTTTAGAATACCCAGTGGCAGGAAGCTTCTCTAAGGACAGGAAATATATCCTCAAGATTTAACATAGACTTAGAGCATGGTGAATGAAGGTAGAAGAATGAGATGGAAGGGAAGGGAAGGCCTCTGGGGACACTGACAGTTTACGCACTATGTAACTCCCAAGAGACAACACTTTCAAAGCCTGTTCTGATGGAATAAATGAATGGAAAAGAATAAATAGAATGAATGAAAATAGAATTAAAATTACACGGGGATTGTAGAAGACACCTGAGCCCCAAATATTTTTGGAATAGAGTAGTAAATTCTGATGTGCTCTCCCTTAATCTCAGTAACCGCAGCTCTTTACAGAATAATGACTTAACATATTTTCTTCACAGTGAACATTCTAGAAGGTTAAGTGACCCAATTAAAGGCATAAACTACTTCAGTAGCATTTAAAATCAGCTGAAGTCTATAAGCTTTCATTTCATCTTTCTGCTTTTCTCCCAGTAGGCAACTTTGGGTTGGGAAAGGAGGAATATACCTGCTCTCTCTTATACTGATGGCTTCTTCTTAACATTTATTCTGAATTATAGTGTAGTATGCTATTTTTAGAGTTGCAATAGACACATAGGGTTTATTTGTTATAAATAAAATTGTGCTTTTTAGTGTTAAATTTATGTCATCAAAGTTGAATTGCACAGCCCCATTTTATTCTGTTCAATTGAGAAATCTTATTTATTTTTGCCTTAACCACTATCATAAGTGCTATCCAACAGAGTGGTGAGGCACTTTTATGTAGCCTCATCACTCTTTCTTGAAGGGACCACCTCTTGGTCACAGTCATCGACTCTATGTCTCCTTGGGTGTTTATGTGTTGATTATTTGCTTTATTTTCTTGGAGTATTTATGGATAAATTTCATTGGTGGATATAAAAGTACAAAAATCTCTCAACTTCCATTCTACAGAAGTCCACTGGGACTGAAATTTGCAAAGTTGTTTTACCATAGCAAATATATAATTAGAACCTTAAGGAAAGGAATCAAACAGGTTTATATACTCTTTTTCCTTTTAGTGTTGGTTACCCAGACACGGATACGCTTTGCACCATAGAAAAATTCAGAAATTTACTAAAATAAGAAACATTGTTTTAGACAACAGATTACAGATTACTATAGACTACAGATGCATAGTGGACACATGGGAAGACAGTCTTACGAGTAAATAATTATGAGTTTTTATTAGAGTACTGTGAAAACTTAATATACAAATACTAACTGTAGAGATCCTATATGAATTTTTCTGTTAATCTAGTTATTTATGAGGAAGGGGAGCAAATACATGAGACATATTTATGGAGTACTTTTTTATTACTTGCTGGGCACTAAACAAGGTATATAAATATTTTATGTATTACTCAAAGCAACATATTTTATAGATATTCTTATTCTCTTTTTACAGATAAAGAATATAGTATCAGAGAAAGTTTTAGTACTTGTCCCATTTACAAGGCCAGTAAGTACTGCAGGGCTGACTGGCTCCACAGTCTTGTATCCTGATATCAAAACTGAACTAGGTCACATAAAACACTTGCCATCCCTGTAAACAATTTGACAACATGGCTTTCTAATATTTTTTTAAACTTCTAGATTTTAAAAGAAATCACTTCTACTTACAACTTATGGTTATTCCAAGTTCCACATTGTGCTTCTTAGGGAGCTTTACATGAAATGTTCCACTACTTGGGATGACAGACTCTGTAATTTCAAAATGAAAGACAGTGCATTTAAAGATCACAAAGGAGACTGGTGCATCGATCAATGAAAATGCATCAGGAATACTTGCATCACGATCCCTGGTAGTTAAATCTGTAGGAACTGAAGTAAGGTGATTGCCTGTAAAATCTTGGTAAACTAATCTTCTGGTGATGAAGATATGTAAGTTTTACCCACAGGCAACTGTGCATAATTCATAGTCATAGTCAAGTTCTGTATTTCTCAAGTGTAATGCAGGGACAACCTGTAACAAATTTACCTAGTAGTCAAATTAAAAATATAGATTCCTAAATTACTCCAGATCTATGAAATCAGACTTCCTAAGGATGGAGTTTGGAAATCTGCATGTTAAACATGTTCTCCACGTGAAGCTTAGGCATGCTAAAGCTTAAGAACCCCAGCTGTAGTTACATTTCCGTAACCATATTTTCCCAGGCTTTACTATTTAGCCCCCCCCCCCAATGTTTGAAGATAGCTGGGGAAATAGATTTGAGGAGAGATATCAGCTTCCTGTGGTTGACTGAGGGTGGGGTTGAAAACTGCCTTAATTTGTAATGTTAACAATGAAAAATATAATTAAAGAGATAGAATCAGGGGTGATATTCCAAATATTTCACAACCAAAGCAAAATGGCACTGGGCACAACCAATTATACTGGATGCTGACCACAGAATTTTATCACAGGGACCTAAGAGGCCCCATAAGCAGCAAGGATGCTTTGACCTCTGGGAAAACCCAGAGAGGACCAGAGCACCTTGGAATGGACTGATAAGTGTGCTCAAATGCTGGCCAACTAGTACAGAAGTGAGTAAACTAGTATTGTACAGCACAGAGAGAACCAGTGTGCACTGGGTGGTTCTCAACCCTTAAAAGGACTAAGCTGATTTTACTGGGATGTGACTATCATCTGAGAAAGGAGGTAATTGCTATATATTCTTTGAAATTCCCTTAATAGTCTTGGAGACCTTTAATTAATGATAAATGGAAATATCCTCTAAAGACATAATATATACTCATACCAGGTTGCTGAGTACTACAATTCTTTCTTGAAGATTTTGGAAGAAAATGGGAAGAAGCATCAAGAGCAAAGGAAACATTTGCAGGAGACGATTGTAGGATGGCTAAAATAAACATTCTCAGTGCTTCATCAGCTTTACTAGAGGCTACAATCCCATCCAGCCTGCGGTGTGGATGGAACTGCTAAGCCCTCAGGCTCTTAGTCCAGTTTGGTAACCACAAGTTTAACTTACTTTGAGTCTAAGAACAGCAGAGGAATTAGACTCATGGAAATAAAGTATTCCCTTCCCTGATCTGCTTTAACTTGCTCTTCTTGGCCTTTTGTCCTTTCCTATGAGTCACTGAGGCAGTAAACTTTTTACAAGACCAGAACCTTATCTTCCAATTAGGAAAGTTCACTGTTGAGTGTTAAATGAGAAAACACAATAAAATTTTGATTTTTCTTAGACCTCCAAGCTTCTAGAAAGCCACTTGTAAAACTAGATCCTGAAACTGCTTCTCTGGTTTTCCATTTTCTGTAGTATTGCTTCTAAGTCTTCTCTGGCCTCTTCCTTTCTCTCTATTCATTTATCCATATCAGAGGGGTGTGAAGGAATCTGCTGCCTTTCTCACTTTCTGACAATTTTCTAAGCTTTCGCTGTAAGCAGGTCAGTGTCACAGACTGAATTAGTGCCTTTGATCTCTTTGTTGTCCTCAAATAACACTCTGATGTGTCAGGAAGCAAATCCACATATATTTATTTGTTTATTGACTCATTAAGAATCTACATTTTCCATTTCTCAGCAGGACTTGAGATAGATGAAATTGTTTATTTCCTCCAATAGATTTCAAAAGACTGACCACTTTTGATATAGTTGGGCAGAAAAAGAGAAGTGAAGTAGATTAAAAAAACATGTAAATGTGTTTTACTTCCTGATTTCAAGTGCTGCAAGTGTTGTGAATATTTACTTCCCAAATATTTCTCCAATTCCTGCCTTCTCTCCATCTCTTTCCTGAATCCTGCTCATTCCTCACTACAACACAATGCTAATGGGCACCTTCTTTCCAACTCCAAAGAGAGCATTTCAAAAAGAGCATGCACACTGGTGACAGAAAGGGCCTTTGGAAATGACCACTTTTTGCCCATAAGCTGAAGTGTATTTCTATTGTTGCAACTCAAAGTTCCTTAAAGAACAATTTGATTCAGAGTAAAGGAAATGGGATGGGATCAAGCAGAAATGTGCCACAAAAGTGCTTATGGGCATAATGGGAATGAATGATTGGATTCCTTGGATAAACACACAAGCAGTCCATAAGTAAGTGCACATGAAGCTTCACCATATGTGGAACCCATGTCACAAATGTGTGACTCTTAGTTTCACGGTTTTAAGACAGAGGTCTCTGTGAAAGGGGAGGGGAGTATATTGTATATTTGTATTAATGTATGTATATAACATCTTGCCCGTGATGCTATCCTTACTTGTGAAGTCTTAGAATCACAGGGCCAGAAAACACTGATCTATCATAGTTACTATACCAATATTTTGCTTTTATAAATTTTGAATGCAGGGAACCTTGATCAAGATTTATAAGAGGAGATATTATTACTTCCTGGAAAACAGTAATGGATCACTTTTGACTACAGAAGATTTGAAATATTCATAATGATGAACAAATATCAACTAATAAATCTCTTTGATCAAGATGTGGCTTCATTTTAATCCTTAAATGGCAAAATGATTTATTTTGTATTTAGTATTTTCACTATATAATTATTTGGCTGTTGGTGGAAAGGTTCTACTATTTGGGAAAACAGCAGGTTTAGAGTAAATAAATATAATTCTGAGAACAATGTTTATTTTGTTAGATTTCCATGTGATTATTTTGCACTTCCCTGGTTTTGCTTTATCTTTGTTAATACTATAATTAAAAACGCATTTGGGTAAAAAGTTTTTCTTCTTTCCAATTGATCAGCTTTCTTGCCTGAAGCATTTATTGTGGCACAGTAAGATAACCACCATTCATCATCCTGGACATTGTGTGAGGGGTGTAAATGTTTAACTGCCCCTAACTTAGAGGAAAGCACTAGGGGCTCCAGTGCTAATGGCAAACATCATCTGATAGAGTTTTCAGTGAGGCTTCTTTCCTGAACGAAGTAACTTCAGAGTTAAAGAAGAAGCTTCAGATAATCATGTTATTTGTGGTAGACCGTTATTTTTTAAAATTAATTTTATTGGTACATTTTAGGTATACAATTCGTTTACATTTATCTTTGGGTGTTTGTACCTGTACATGATGTATCTTGGTTCTTATTTTTTTCCCTGTTACCTGTGCGCCCTTCACCCCCTTCACCCTTCCCTATTTATATAGATTTCATTTCCATTTTTTTTCTTTTCTCATAGTTTTTCCTTCCCCTCTTTTCCTTTCCCCTTCCCCTCCCTTCACTCCTTTGTCTTTGGGCCTTTTTTCCTATTTCAAATTATCAATTATTCATTTTAATCATTTTAACTCTTGTTTACACTATCAGTTTCTCACACTAGAGAAACTATTCGGTATTTACACT